AATCTTTTGATGTTATCTTCGATTATGCCCGGGAAGCTTCCGATATCGCTTAAATCAACAGGACGCGACGCGACGTCCCCTCGAAACTCGACGCACATACATTGCACCATAACGACAAGGAAGCAAACGTTGTACATTATTAATGAACCGCTTGTTGACCCCACGGAGAAAAAATAAGGAAGATAAACCAGCCACCCTCTACGTTGGATATTGTTTTAAGTCTGATATACATTTGTTTGAAACGTCTGCCTTAGCTGTTTTGACGAACGTTGCTTGCAAAGTTGATGCGATCGTTATAAATGATCAAGGCAAAGGACAGGTAGCAACGGTCATTTAGAAAGATCTGTACATTAGATAATCAGAACGTTAGTCGGTGTTAGAATTCGCGAGGGTTGAACGGCACTGGCAATGATTCTAAGCTGATTTAGCCGGAGGAAACAACAAAGCCGAGCTTGACCAACAGTGTATACCCTTTGTTCACCAACTTTGTCAAACGAGATCCTGCCATGTTTCAGCTGATGAACCGAAATTATAAATGGACCATGACTCGACGTTATCAGTGGAACACGGTTGAGGGCCCACTCAGCGATTAAATCCCTGTTAAAGTTTCAAAATTCGTGTTTCACAGAGTTTCACAGAGCATTCGAATTACGTTGAGAAGCGAGCTTGGCCGATTTACCGTGAAAGCTTGCCCTAATGAAACTCCGAGTACTATTCGGTGTCCCACGCGAAAGGATCGATAATTTGCCAATCGTTTTGCTTAAATATCGCTGTTATAAATTTGATTCGCACGCGTTTCACACCCCTGCCAGAGTTATCTCGCGTAAATTTTTAACAGACCCTTTCACAGCTCGTCGCAAATTTCCATTTTACGATTACGAAACGCGTCGATATCACGCTCGAGCGAGGGGTAACAAAAGTTAACGATAACATCTATGAAAGACGTCAATGAGCGAACGGGAGACAACGTCACCGCCAACTAAAATATCGAGTAGCACGGCAGAGCTGTCGATAAAATTTCATTTCCACTCGTTCTTTCGTCGACGACGAAAGATCACTTTCGAACGGCTACCATTACAACAGACCATTGCTTTCTGTGCACGCAACTCTTTTCATTGATTTTCACTGATAATCGATGACAAAGTAAAAATTCGTTTACCGTATCGTGAAAAATATTCCACGAGATTTCGTTCGAGAAAGAATCCGAGAATTCGCGTAGAATCAAACGGCGCGATTTCCTGATTTTCCATGGAAATAATATCTCCTTTAGCGTCTACGAGAGAACATAAACTCGCGATGGAATTTCTTGTCCTTTTGCTTTGTACCAGGAATTCGAGAGGGAAATGTCGGTCTTTGTCGATTTCACTGGCGAGTAATTTGAAAATTTCTCGCCTTTTGAAACGCAAACTCTGTCCCTGACGGTGGAAATCCACGGAAATGGTAATACAATTGAGGTACTGTTTTAAGAACAAAAAAAAAAGCATATATCGCTCGAATAACACCACTTGTAAGATGAAAAGATTCGTTTCCTCGTCGTTGAACGTGTACACCGCGTATAGACCAGCTAAAACATACGTATTCGCGTAATCAACGAGGAAACGTTCCGTAATTAATAAAACGGTTAATTAACAAGCTAGAAGCAAGGATATCGACGAGAATGCAACGAGGACGCAACTTGATATACGACACTGAATATCGACCGTGTTCTAAGCTTCGTGTTATGAAATACCGTGTACGGATTTATTCGAATCCAATTTTCCATTTTCAATCTTTTATTTTCGCGAAAGAATCATTAATCAGAGCTCCACTTTCCAACTAGTTTAACCAGATTTTATACCTTCATTCGATAATCCCCCAATTACTCGGCAAACTTTGTTCGCAGCGTCGGAACGCGATTAATTTCTGCAGAAATTTCTTTAAGTTCGTCCGCGGCTGGTCGATCGAACTCCCGCTAACGGTAATCGATTTTACACTCGTTCGATGTATTAATATCTCGCGAAACGTATCGCGAGCATAGATATCGATACGCGATTTAACTTTGAACAGAAAACTAATTCGATAACGGAAATGATTCGCTTAAGAAAACTCGATTTGCTACTTGCGTAAAACTTATCGACTTTAATCTCGTTTTCGAAGCAATTTTCATGGAATTGAGTTAAATAGATTTCACGTGGCACGCTGTGCCAAGCTTTCGCCGTAATAACCGAGCATCGATGACTGCATCCATAAACGTTATAAGCAATTTTAATAAAAAATATAGCAAACTAATATATCAAACTGACTTCACTCGTGATGGAAAGGATCTATTATTGATGAACAACATCGAAAAATTTCAATATTAAATTTAATACCATCAAAGGTAAATTACTCTCGTCCTTGTAGACTATGAAACTGTGTAAATGAAAAAGTAATTTAACCCTAACAAATCTTCGGGTCGAGCTTCATTAAAGGAGGTGCACGATTGGCGTTACTTGGTTCTTAGGCTTTTCATTAGTTAAACCTCTCAAGATTCAAGCACCGATAAGCTCTTCTTTCCCCTTTCGTTCTACCATGCTGTTCGAAACTCGTCTTCTCGCCGTTATCGTGTCTGTCCTTGTAACTGAAGTAATCTTCCGCGAAATCACAAGAACGTGTAACGTCGTCTTTGACCTTTTAAGCAACGATTCGAGGGTGAAGTCGATTCTCGTTTGTCGAGACATTTGATGATTTGACGTTACGGAAAGTTCGCACGAATGTATTCCATTCAAGTAAATATACCGAGCAGAAATTGGTCTGTCTATTTTGTACAAGTGTACCGGAGAAACTTCGATATCAGTTGAAAAACGATTTGAAATTTTCCGGACCACGCGAATTTACTGCAGGTAAATTTCAGCTCGTACGTCACCAGCTGGCTTCGGGAAGCCCGAACGAGGTCTCGACGAGGGATGAAAGGAAAAATTGTGGCCAATACGTTGGAGGGATGCCAAGACTTTCAGCCTGACATCCTGTCGGTTAAACGAGTTTCGCGTTTGTCCTGGCTACTCTGGCTGTTAAACACGTTTTTGGGGAAATGCAACTTATCCGAGCTTTCTTGGAGAACATGCTCGTGGTCACGAATGCACGAGACACGCCTAATGGAAAAGTGGGTCAAACTATTCTCGTCACAAAGCGTCCTTCGACAGGATAGGCTCTATAGCTAAGATAATGTAACGATAGGATTAATCGCGGAGATATTTCATAGTGATCGTACAAGTATTTGCACGGTTTATATATTTCTAATTCCAAATAACTGCAGATCCGACATGTTTGAAAATTAAATTTCATATAAAATGCAAGAAACATCGAACAGAGCTTGCTTCTATAGTTTCCCTAACCGATAGGGAGCATCGATGTTCGCTAGGGAATGCGGGATAATTTATAGAGGCAATATTCAGTACGATAGCGAGATAAAAAATAGAAAAGGAATGAAAGAAAGGAGGAAATACGAGCATCTGATGCGTCTCGGAAACGAGTCGTTCCAAAGGCTCTGTTTGAGAGCTAACGAGCTACCCAGGTCACCTTAGCTGAGGAAATTAAGCTCGCCTTGGTATTGGGTGGAACCAATCTCACTTCCAAAGAGACTACTGTACAGAGCTCCATTTCAACCCATCTTCCTCGTTTAAGGAAGTTAAATTTTAAATCTTTTTTATTACATTAATTTGCTTCTAAGCTTTGAAAGCTCCGTTATAAGTCTTCAATTTAGTATCATAAAATGTATTAAGCGAAACTAAATGCTATTTAATTTGATTTTGAATAAATTTCAATTTTTGAATTAAGTTTATCTACGGGGCCTTCGAAAATTTGATAACCCAGGGGCCCCAGAAATCTTAATCCGGTCCTGTACGTATACGTACTTACTAATTGTTACTTTGCATGCTATTGAACTAGAGTTAACTAACCTCACTGCGACTCGACGCCACTACGAATTAAATTTCCCTAGCAATATTCCCAATGGGAGTATTCAATAGCAATGAAACTGTGAAAACTTTCTTTACACAGAAAATGAGAGAGACATTTCTAGTCTATCTCAATATTCACGCCTACACGCCGAGGATTATTGCTTTTCTAAGCGCGGGGAAAGAAAGAACAGTAAAATCAGCAAAAAGAGTGTCACAAAGACAAAGGGAACAGAGCAAATAACGTGATTCCGGGTCCTATCGAAAGGTTAATATTCGCATATTTATGGACGCTCTTATATGTACCCTGACAAGACGAATTCCAATTTCCGAATAGCGAATAAGTCTTTTCGTAATATTCACTTTTTAATACTGAATATTATTTACTTACCCCTCATATTGCGTCGTAGTGGTCCAGCGACAATGATAGGACGCCAAGAAGCAGTTGACTGTTTCTCGTTCAGTCCACGCACTGTTTCACTGAATCACAACTTTTCCATGATCGACAATGTTTATGTTTACGATATCCGGACTCGATCGCGTCGAATGCTCACGAAATATTTACTTTGCAACGAGATAATCTTGTAACCGTACTTCGCTTTATACATACCGCGCACGCGACCGGCCATTTTAGACGCGCAATAATCTCTGCGCACTAAAGATGCGCAGTAAAATTGGCGGCAAAGCTGCACACTAGACCATCGCACCACCTGGCGCGCAAAATTAAAAATATGAAAAACTTTGCGGTACATTTCAATTTTACATTAAATCACACCATCGTCAATATACTCGTTAAGGTTTTGTTTTTTAATTATTAATGAAAAACACCGACTGAACAGGGTACGTGTAGCACGCAGGCTTGGACGCGGGAGTGACAGCTACGAGAACCGCGTTAGAGCGTATTCGCGAACAAACTATTCGGCACGTCGGATCGTAGCTGACGCTTCCGCGTCCGAGCATGCGCACTATGCGCGCTCTGATCGGTCTGTTTTTAATTAATAATTTGAAAACTAAGCTTTAATGAGCATTTTGGTAAAGAAAAAAGTTGTTCAGAATTACCCCAGCTATCATCTCTCTTTCCAACAGATGCTCACCTCTAACCGAACACCCTCTATACATTGTTTCGCTGAAACTTTATTTACTACAATACAAATAGCAATTAAAGGAGAAATTCGTTCACTGTAAAGGAAAGAAGGAAAAGAAAACCAAGACGGGTAATTACAACCAGGAGAGACTTCAATGTAGAAGCTTTGGTGTACAGCGTTGTTGCCTGCGGTCGTTGCCTCGACCTCGCTGTTTTATCGAAAAACCGGGTCCGGAAAAAGCGAAGAAAAAAGGAAAACGAAAGAGTGACTAGAAAACCGTGATACATCAAAGGATGCTTTGACTTTTTCTCTACACTAAATAAAGCACCACGGGTGGTAAACAGTTTTGAAAGCTATAGCGAACAGTGGCAATCGGTAGGATTTCAAAATTGGTTTTGCAATGAAACAGGAAAATCTGATAACTCGATCGTCGACTTCGCACAATTTCTGCAACGCAATGCAGTCTTAATTAGCAGTGTAATTACTTCTGAAAACTAATTTTGTTCCAGATTAAATGCAAAATGTCGGTCGAGGTGAGAGCGGGTCGACCAACAATGCCTACAATTCCTCAATCTAAGAGACCAACGATTCTAGTTTATCCTACAGGTGAGATCAAATTAGTCGAATTTTTTTTAACTTTCAGAGTTGCTTTACCGAGTCAAAACGAAGCACTGGAATAGTTTGCATTCTCTTGTGTGGAATATTACTTCTTGCTTCCTTGTTTTGCAAGATTTGCCACAGTCGTTCAACTGTAGAATATCTCGGTTTCACAAAATGATAAACTATCCTACTCGCTACTCCAGTTGCTTTATGAAGCAAGTTTAGCTTGAAGAACTATCTCGACATTGAGAACAATGAAACTTCCTTTCGAACAGTATACGTACATTTAGGTGATTTTTCAGTAACTCCGGAGAGTATCATCATCCCAATAGTATCGTGTATTCTTGGATTTCCATTGTTGGCGCTGATGGTTATCTGTTGCCTAAGAAGAAGGGCAAAACTTGCGAGGGAACGAGCCAGGAGAAGAAACTGTGATTTGGATCACGGTGCTTTGAGCTTGGTTCGTTTCAGCCCTGTTCATCGCTTAGGTGAGTTTCTACTCTATAGTTTAACCTTCTAAGTACTTAACCCATTTTTCCAGCTGTATTGAAAGAAAAAAAGAAAAAGAGCACGACACAATGCTGCTATTCTGTTTGCAATTGAGCGAAGTGTTTCTTGTTGTACGGTCTACGAGTGCATAACATATGGGACCATGAACACGATACATGAAGTTTCTGTAAATATGGACCTACATAACTCGAAAACAAGGAGAAACAAGAAATATGTTTGCGTAATATTTTGATCGTTATGTTCGTATACTCCATTCGTCGCTTAAGTGGGTTCCGCGTGTTATATCGCACCCTGTATTGTGCAACAAAAATGAATGGAGGTCACGAAACATTTGTATTTTAGCACCTTCAACCCTTTGAACAACAACCAACGTTTTCGCGGTTACCTTTCCATAGCCAGGCAACATTGAATGCACACATACCTGTTTAGAATTTGAATACCTACCGGTACATGTACACTTTTGTAAATGGAGTATGTATGTACGAGTTCAAACACACGGAATCGTAGCCTAGAATGTTATATACGTATATAAAGAGAGTGGAAAACGCATTAAACCAGATTGAATGTTGCCCTGAATATCCGAGTTCATGCACCGACGTCAGAATATTTCATGTACAAATATCGTATCCGCGAAGTTAAGATTAATTTTGTAGATAGGAACACTTAACTCGCATCGAAAGTATTCAAAAATTGAAAGAGAAAACTGTGAAGGTTTTCTTTAGTTTTTCATACATTTTAATTACAATGTAGCGTTTAAATCAATGTATACGATAGCTGTGAAACTGAAATATATGTCCGTTATTTTATTATCCCGTCAAGTGCAGCATCCAAAGAGGATTTAGGTAAAGCTTCTCATCCACCTGATTGTTGCTTCTTTTTCTTCCTAGAAAAAGTTTGAAGTTTAAAGGATAGCAGTTTCTTTCACTTAATGCATAATCGTTTCATACCGCTACTGCCGTTGCATATTTAACGCAGAACTTAAATTGAAGTTTTCACGAAAGTTTGAAATCTTGAGCACTTAAGAAGCACGTGAAAACGATTCGAAACGATAAAAATACTTACATTTTATAAAATTTGATACTTGCATTTATTGTCCAAACGAATATGATCTTCATATTAGCAGTGCAATTAAAAAGAAGAGTTTCATGCGTAGCTTGGCTGTAGTTTAACGCAGCTCTCGATGCAAAAGCATGAAATACATATCATTTAACATCGTTCATAGCCGCATGTAATTGATTTACAGATATTTGCTCTGCAAGCTTATATAGAATTACATTTAAACGCAAGCTGCATCGTACGATAACAATGCGTACAACAATTGTGAAATTCAAGCAAATAGTTGAGATGATGTGATGTTTATTTTAGAATGCATTTAATGCTCTTTTGTCAACTGAATTTTTCTACAGACAATCGAGTGTTTTACGATTGCATGTTACAACTCTGTCCGTTTTTTTTCTATGGCAGCTGGAATTGATCGACCAACGAGAACGGTGTCCTTAAGAAGCGATCGAGGGTCCAAAGCTTTTCCGTCATTGGAGCTAGACACCGTGGTCGAAGAACGATCGGATCCTGAACAGAGCACCGCACTTGAACTCAGCAGTCCGGATTAGCATCCAGCTTTGGTACCGCCAAGGTACCAACTACAATTATTTTAACACATTTTTTAATCTTACATCCACGCGGGCTTTGAAGAAGATACCGGTCTGTGCCACCTAGCATTAACATCATAAAAGTTAAGATTTTGAGAATATTTTTACAGGTCTCCTCGGCCGTCAAAAGCAGCGGTGCCATTACCCGAGGATCATAGCCCTTTATGGACAGCGTTGACGCACGCTAATACCGTATCATCTGCCCTTGGAGATACCTAGCATGAGGTGGATGAGGGCGATTATATCGAAGCTCTCGTCCTAAACTTACCAATCATTTATTAAACAATTACAAAAATTTAAAAATTTGTTATGAACCTTCAATACCTGGAATATATGTTACGTTCAGTTTGAAGATCGTGACGAATTCTGAACATACATCGCAAGTGCCATAACGAAAAATGACTATAAAATATATTGACATCGTAAAGTTAAATAAAAGTTTGCAAACAAGTTTTGCACATGTGACAGAAATTAATGTGAGTTAAACGTTATACTGACCAATTGTATCAAATTTAGTAGACATCCCGGCTTTTTACAATGAGATACCTAGTCGAAAAATGTATGCTACAGATATGTTAGTGTAAATAAGGGTTTGTTAACACGACGTACAAACAGAAAACAGTTTGTAAATAAATCATCATAAGCACCAGAAACTTCACACTTTTATATATTATGAAATCGATATACGGATTTTTAGAGTGGAAAACTGTCAATACGTCTGATGTAAATAATCTTACTAGATATACGAAATAATTATTTATACAAGAGCAATTAGAATGTATTCAAATATATCAAATATAAAATTCTTCTAAACATACTTATTATACATATATAATGCCTAAAATCCGGGCATCGCTCGTCCTTTTTTAGACGCCTTTTTTAACTTGTTCAATTTTTTCTCTTTTTTTCTCTTCATGATATTTTCTTGACGCTTTTCTTGCCTTTCTTGGATTCCTTTCTGAACATTTTCTAACCTTGATTCCCATTTCTTAGCACTTTGTTTTTTCTGCTGGTCTTTTCTCTTTATTGTTCGTTTAAGCAAATCAGAATCATCTTTCACCTGTAACAATATATAAGTATAGGAATTTAAGTTACATCTTTGCAACTATCATTTTGACATACTTTTTCACCAGAGGCTTTTGCTAAAGCAGATTTCCATGCATCTTTTTCTTTAAGTTCTTGAGCTTTTTCTATTTCACCTGATTGTTCCATTTCCTTTAACTTTTCTTTCTTCTGCTTTAATTCAAGAAGAATTTTCTTTGTATCTTTTCTAGGTGGTTTCTTTTTTGTTCCAATTTCAGAAAAGTCAAACTTACTGAAAACCATTTTACCTTCTGAATTAAATATGGGTTTTGGTCTTGGAATTTTCTGTACTTCGCTGTCTTCCTTTTTAATTTTGGACAAACCACTTGCATTTTGCTCTATTTTAACAGCTTTCTTCTGCATCAAATGTTCTTCCCTCTTTGATATCTTTTTTATTCTATTTTTCAAGTTCTTTTTCAATTGTTTTTCCTTATATCCTAGCCTTTTAATATTTCTTAATCCTTCGAGTCTAGCATGTAACTCTTCAAATGTTTGTGCTCTTTTCATTTTTCCGTTTAAATGTGAAAAAATTTTTCCTACAATGCAGAAAATATACAGCTGGTGAAGAAATAAATTACAATTTTATACAAAAATATCAATATGTATGTACCTTTTGATGCAGTTTTATTATTTTGTACTATTACATTACTTTGATCATCTGAAACTAATGACACTTAATTAATATTTTGATAAATATTACGCTTTTCTAATAGCATATTATTTTCTTTGTTTCTACACTTTTACCTAATTCAGATACAGGGAAAGGTGTTCTTGAAAATATCTGTGAAATAAATTCGTTTTCTTTCAGCAATAACTGCTTAACAAGTTTTTTGTCAAATGGTTTAGACATTTTTAATTGCATATTTTTCTAAACCCACGTGTGTTATATCGCAATGTAAATACAGTTTTGTGTCAGAATCTAGCAAATCACATACACGTTTTTTAACTTTTGAAAACTATAACATAGGTTATGAAATGTATAGTAATGCGCAAACTCACAAGCAGACTAAACGTCTCTTTTTTTTTTAAGTTTAAACAAAAACAGTGAAGTTAGATTTGTTATATTTAAAATACAGCCTTTTATTTAATACATTTTACTTTTATTAAAAATGCAGCTTACACCAAAACTGGATAAAACAATACAAAGAACATCAATGTTACATTTTTTTATGAGAAAATAAATTATACAAATAATTACACTATACATTATAAATCAATATGTTACAATCCTGGAACTTGTTTAAAATTATTACTTTCTTTTATTTTTATGAGTATTAATATTGTTTTTAAGTCATATAGGTAATACAGATGACACTCTAGTGACACTTTAGTCTAAAAAATTGATAAAATGTTAATGAAAATATGTTACTTATATTAAATGAGATGTATGATGTGAAATAATTATTTATGGTTGCCAGGCTTCTTCCATTAACTTCTGTGATGTTGAAACTATAAGATTTTTTCCACGTAATAGACTCTTATCAAATTCTTCTACAGTTGCAAATGCATCTTCTAATGTTTTGTAATAAACATGGCAATATCTTATTCCTGATTTTGGTATTGTCATCATGAGAGACACAGCTATTGGGTTGTATTTTTCAAAAAGATGTAACAGATAATGAATGCTTAAACTGGGATGAATGTTGGCTACTATTACTTCTTGAGCTTGAACAACCACTGAAGACAATTTAGAGAATTTTGTGTTATTGATTCCATAATTTTTATTAGTACAAACTAAAGCTGGGATTTCATCCATATCAGATATTTGTTTAGATTTCTTTGAACTGTTAGTACAAGCATCCGAAGGCAATGAATTATTCAATGCAGCTCTTTGTAAGTTTTTCAACCTAAGCTGTTTTAAAGATAATGTTCTTTTATGGGAACCACCTTCACTGTCAATTGTCTGTATTGAACTGCTGAAACTAGTGTCAGAAAAATCTTCATTGTCCATCCCATTACCATTAGAATTATTTGTACTCTTTGCTGATAATGATTTTGATATATTAGAGTCAGCTTGATAATTCCATTGACCATTTTTTGATTGTTTATTTTGTGATCTTAGCTTTGTATTCATTGTTTTTGTTTTACTTTTATGTGGTAAGATCTTAATATAGCGATGATCTTTAAAACCTTTAATACAACGTATAACATCTTCACAGTTTTCATATCTTACAAAACATAATCCATGAGGCTGTCCACGATCATCTACAGACAAAACATTCCCAAAACCAGAAAACATTTCTTCGATTTCACTCTTACTTAGTCCTTTATTATTAGGAAAATGTACAACATAAGAACCATCTAATTTCTTATGATAATACTTTTCATCATCCATAATTATATAAAACGCGGTTTTAAATTATGTAGAAAACAGTAATTTTAAGAAAATAAATTATTTATAATTATGTATGTGTATACGTATACTTGGTTATACCGTTAGAAGATACACAGCCAAAACGTGTGATGTATATTTTAAAATCTACGACATATGTACAATACAAACTTGTAAGAAACGCTAGGTCAAAGTGGAGATATACCTACTCTTTGGTTAGGTTATATTAAATATGGTACGGTTGTGAAGTTAGCAAAATATATATATGATGTCATGAAATTAGCTTATTACCAATAAAGAAAATATTTTTAAACATGTATTATATATAAACTATTAAAATTATTTGTTATATTAGTGTCGCACATTATAAGTTAGTGTAGTACAAAGAAATAGTACGCTATACGTTGAAACGAATAGATTTATCTTTTGCTTATATTCTTGACATTGTATTGGAGTAATTGTAGAATGTTGTGTCTTGTTATTAGACGATTAAAAAAAGAAACATTTTCTATTTTAAATGAACAGTCATATTTTCCCGCCTTCTTAAAATGGTCGACAGGGTAGCCATGTTTTCGCAACAGACTTGCGCATTGTCGGACTTGTAATTTACATTTTCCAAGTCTGAAGTTCCCTCGTTTTATCCGTACAGCATTCGGTAAAGTAAAATTACGATTGAATATTTGATTTTGCTCATATTTTCTCAATAAGATTGTGCCTAGTAACGACATAAGTGTATACGATTAAAATTAGTGGTAATGAAAAAAAAATAAGTTGAAGAAATGGGCGGAGTTTGCGCCTGTTGAAATATAGGAGGTAAAAGATTTTGGTTTGTTTCTACGACAGTTGATTCTGATTTGAATCGTTATGAATAGTGCTTCGATGAATCAGTTCCGAGATATTTTTGTATAAGTTTGCTGAAACTTTTGAGGTTCGTAAAACAGGTTAAGCGAATACGATTAGGAAAAGCGGCGAAATCGCATTGTAAGTGGATGCGCACGCGGACAATAACAGGAGAGAGCGAACGAGATAGACAGATCAGAAGGAGAAAGAAAGGAATGAATCGAACGTTCTGATTGGTCGAGGCGGCTGTTATGGCCGCCGATTGGTTCACGTACGCACGCACACCAAGTATTGCGACGTACATGAACGCACGAACACGCGGACGTTTCAGGAGCGTAGCTGTCGCTCGCGGCCGAGAAGAGTGAAAAGAGCGACAGAAACGGTCGGTCCGCGCGTTGCCTTGTAAGGCGGAGAGTTGGTGTGTGACGTCCGTGCGCGGATGGCTCGAAGAACGCCGATTTTCCTCAGCTTCTACGAGTATCCTTACCGAGCCGAGGAAAAGATCCAGTGAAAGGAGAGTGCGGGCCTGACGCGACGGCGACCGTCGACATAACCGCGTATACGTAAAATCCGACAATCCGTCAAGTTTAAAAGCTGCCGAAGGCACCATTTTCATCATCCCCCTGTAGTGTGTATACCAACTAGAAAATCGCTTATTAAATGCAACGCGAGTGTTCCTGAGCAACCGAGAAATACGAGGAGTGTGAGAGGGAAAACGTACGAAAGGGAAGCAAACAGAAGTAAAAAGGATAACGAAGGGCATCGAGAAAGGGAAAGAGAGAAAAACGAGAGAAAGAGAAAGAGCAAAGCGGACGAGTGAGACGGAAAGAGAGACCGAGAAAGAGAAGCGAAAGCAAGTTAAAACGCCAAACGATACGTAAGAGACAAAGGCCACGGCGGCATAACCTCCAAGCGGATCGTGCCGCGCGTTACGAGCATCTCTTATCCTCGTAGATCACGTTTGTTTTTTCAAAGAGTTCGGTATATTGTTTACAAGAGATTATATTTTTGCAAGTGCATGCCTGTCCGGGGCTTCCATACGAAGTGTCGCATGAACGAAACAGAGAGAGAAAGAGCACGTGCATGAGAACACATACATATTTTCTTCGAGGTATATACAGAAATCGTCGTTAAAGTGAAAGAGCGGGACGACGGTTGTTTGTACAGTCGTGTTTTTTGCGCGACACCTGGTATACGATACACGTCCGCGAGTGTTGTGTTAACAAATTCACTCCTGCGACGGAAATAAAAAGAGACCACGAGAAAAACGGCGGATAATATTCTTAGTGCTGCAGTCTACGGTTGATGGATGAAACTGGCAGGATGCTGCAACACGGAGGATCAGGTGTTGGTCTGATGGGAGGGAATCAGGGCCAGGGGGCCCAAAATACCGCCGGATACGGTAGCATGGGACCCGTAGATGGAACTGCGACACAAGGTCCGGACCAGGCCGTCGAGGCCAGAAAACAGGACATCAGTGAAATTTTACAACAAATTATGAACATCACCGATCAAAGTTTGGACGAAGCGCAGGCGAGGTAAGTCCCACTCGAGATCCGATCAGCCGCCATTTTTTAATACCTCAAAGACACATTATTATCTTTGCAATTTGCTATGTCACAATTAGCTAAATCCTTTCGGAGGATCTCCCTACCGTCATATAAAAAGACGTTCGTTTTCCTCGATGATACGTTTAACTTTCATTTCGTCGTTTAACGTAGCATTCGTTGATCGTTGGAAACCGTAATGAAAAGCAGGTTATGTTGATCACCGTCAAATGTCTTACGACACGACGATACAAATTCTTCCGGAGGAAGTAAACATTATTTTTTACGATGCTTCTTGAGATTTTATAGCTTCGAGTAAACTGTTGAGTGACGAGTATGGTAGGTGTAGTGATAATGACAAGCTGTAACTTAGATTGTATACGCGCGTTCGAGAGCGTGATAAGACCGCGTTTATCTTCGTATTATTGGTCCACGATCATGGAGCTTTGCTAAAATATATGCCGTCGCCAACAGAATCTTTCTTTTTTTTTTTATTTGTATCACCATAGAAAATGTTTATTACTAATGTCCCTCCTTATGTAGGATTCACGTATTTTCTTTGCCTTTGCAGAAAACATACGCTGAATTGCCACAGAATGAAGCCAGCCCTATTTTCGGTTCTTTGTGAAATCAAGGAGAAAACAGGTGAGTTTTATTGGGTTAGCTTTCTTCGTGTCATTCGCAACGTTTGCTCCACTCAGTCCCCCTGGTAGATATATGTATACATAATCGGATTTTGTATCGCTAAGTCACCGTCTCTCGATTCTCGCGATAAATGACGACCGATTAAATAGACGGCAAACCAGATAAGAGAGCACTCCATAAAAGTACGATCACCTCGTAACTCGTGACGCTCACACGCGAATTCTAAACAATCCCAAAGAAAATTCCTAGGAAGAGATCCCTATCTAGAGTAGAACGGATACGAGGCTGTTGATACGTTTTCGGATGCAGCGCCGGTCCTGTCTACCCACGCTGCAGGGGGGTCGACCCGACCCTTCCACCCATTCGAAACTCGTAAACATAATTTTTATGCGATGTTTGGATTACTTTTACGCGCGGATCAAGAGACCACGAAACGCGCAATTATTTTTGGGGTGCTAGGGGTGGTTTGGCTCGACTCGAAACGGCTGAACAACAGTAGGGGGGGTTGAGGTGGTGGGGTGGTAGAGAAAGAGGTGTGCGTTGGTCGACTACCCCAAAAGTAGTTTCTCTGCCTGGTCGTTTGATGGGGGTGGTGAGGCCACCACGCCCCTCGTGCTAAGCCACCCTCTTTCACGTCGTTCCGTCCTCCAGTATACAGGGTGTTCGCGCACAACCGATACACTCTCGTTATAAAATAACCATTCAACTTACAGAATTTTTGTTCGCATAAAAATGATACTGTTAATTAAGGAAAATCCTATTGCGAGAGCGAATTCTGTTTTTCCTGTATCGTTAACGGCTAGGATGTAACAGGACTGTATCAGATTATCGCAGACACCCTTGTACGCGTATATCTACGCACATTTTTCTCTCTTGTCTCTCCCACTACCACTCTTCCATGGTTCATGGGTTCGCTAGTTTTCTTCTTCCTCGCGACGAGGGTGGTATTGTGCTGGTCGAGGGTTCGACGTAGACGACATTCCACGTACATCGTCCGTTGTGTACGTTTCTTCGATAAAATTCGAGAGGGAGGCGAAAGGTAGCCCTTAGTCGTGGAAAATGATGCTCCTTTTTATACGTCGGAGAGCGGTAAAGTCGTCGAAAGAATTTCGTCTAGAATCATTTAAGCAATATGGCTTTTTAAGAATTGCTTTACCATGTTTTGAAAAATATAAGCTGGTTAACTCGTGTTCGAGGTGTACGTACGTCGATAATGAGCTAGCCAACGCACGTGTTCAGCTATATCGTAATAGCGTAATTAAGGATTCAAGGTTCTCGTAATTGTTGACTACGTATCGGTTGTTTGCAGTTTCGAAGACACGTTCTTCGTACGAATCTCAGTAGAAAACAGGCATAATACCTGTTGTACAGGGAAACAGGTACTCGTCTTTCCACGTAAGGGTTAAATTTTAATTACGATTCATGGATTCGAGGAATTACGAAGAAAAGAATTTAATTTGTAGCAAAGGGGTTAATCGGGTTCACGAGAGAACCCTTTCAATCGAGGAACTGTATAACAGAGCGAAGAGCGTAAAAAAGATACAGGCGTAAACAAAAAAGGCGTCAAAGTATGATGGGCTCACTCGAGAGGATGAATCGTTTTAATGGTTCTGTATTCTTTATGAGCCTCTCTAAGTATACACGTACACGCGTGTATGCATCCATAGGTCAGACGTGGAGGAATACATATACGGTGAAAAATGTATTGGGGGTAGCGTGGCGGCAAGCGACAGGGGATGAAGAGGGAGAGAGGAAAAGAGGCAAAGGCTTGTAGCAGAGTTTATGGGCAATGGCTGACGAGGCAGTGAAAAAGTAGTAAAACCAAGAGGAGCAGATAAACGCTATGTTAAGCAGACCGTTTTACCAGCCATTTAATATAATCGGCTCTCTCGTGGAGCTCGGATAACTTCGGATCAGGGCCGTACCAAGTCAGATTTCTCCCCATTCGACAATCTTTTTTTATTTTTTTATTCACCCTTTTCTCTTATTCGCCACCGATAAACGTTGCGGCAGCTTGCAACTGGTATCACAAACGTTACGCTTCATTTTGATCGCGTTCAACGAGCGATTCAACCTTTATACCTTTCGATTAGTTCTCTTTTTATTGCAAATGATACTTCTGGAGTGCACGGAGAATCACTGTACGCGTTACAACTCGTCGAAAATGGTCAATGATTTTGTATCCTCCGTACGCGTAGGAGAAATTTATTTTTAATGGACTGCACTCCCATTTGAATATCTTTCATCGTGATTGATAGCATGGAAGCGTTAGTCTCGAGGCGACGACGATTTGTCACGGTCATACGAAACGGCTACTCTTTGAAACGTGGCGGTGATCCTCGAAAACCTGTTCTGGACAAGCCCGTTTAGACCGATTTCCCGTGGGACCGTAACCAAGATCCCAAGAAGGGTAGGTGAAACAGTGGGAGGGCGGGAGAGAGGGTTAGAGGGTTCGAAATCCGCGGGATTTCTTCAGCCTGTCCCTCGAACAACCCGTAATCCGTTTTTTCTTCTCCATCCTCGTCCTCCTGGTCGTCCAGGAGATCTTTTCTCTGGATAGCTGTTCGCAGCGGTGGTATAATCGTCGATGCCACATACCGTGGTCATCTAAAAATATTCAGCTCGGTGTCGATGTGAATCCGTGACGGGAGGTATAGTAATTCGAAAATGGTAATTCCGTTCGAAGAATCTTGGAATTCATTTTTTCTTTTACTGGTGAACTGTTTCATAAATCTTGCCTTTCTCGTATTTATGTAACACGATGATATATTTGGCTCTCTAATCGAGTTCAATTTCAAAATAGCCGAAACAGTTAATTCGTAGGAACGATCGCGTGTGCCTCTGTAATTAATCAAAGACCCGGTCGCTATCGATTGCCAGCACTGTTCTCCGATCGGTGGTCAGCTTTATTTATCGTTTGTCAACGCGTGTAACGTTCGTGTGTTTCGAAATTGTAACTTGACTGCAATCAGTTCTGAGGTCTTCCCTCTACCACCCCCCTTCCTCTCTGTCAACTCTTCTCGTGTCACTTCCGATTTATCGTCATTTAGTTAGGGCAGGTCAACCACGCGATGATCAACTACCCTCGATTCCGAATTCTTCCATCAACCTTAACGTAATCCCGTTTCACCCTGTGGCAATTAAAAATCCATACTCCATTTGGCCAGCTTCCAATGGTGATCTTGTTTTATTTCACACATCCACGTCGTCTAAGTGTTTTCGCGAACGAACCTTTCTCGTACTCTCCAATCTATCGATTCGATTGCTTTCTTCGTAGGAACATAAAGTCTCGCAGATTGTATTCTCTAAACTCAGGACTTATTTTCATCTCCGTTTGTCGTTCGTCGACCTTTCCTCGGTATAAAAATATTCCATCGTTGCGTCGTGATCGTTAGTGAAATTATATTTAGACAGGCTCGTGAAAATAGCCGTTCCCCACCGGGAAATCCTTCTTTTTTCTTCCAGTTATCGTGACCGACTAAAATTGGAATCATTAAAATTCATTTCAACGACGTGTCCGTTAATTTTTATCGATATGATCGAAGGATAATTAGCAGTTTGCTCTACAATTTTCTTAATGAACATTGTGTTCTCGTAAGAGTTAAACGTATGTTCCACGTTAATTAGACGGCGCTCACTTTAATTAAAGCTTGCGCAACGTTCCGCATATTTGTTTGTCTCACGCGATTCTGCACGCGAGTTACACGCTGCGGCGTCTGTTGTGCAATAATCGTAAATCGAAGTAGTAGATTTTCCACGACGTAAATATATATATTAAATTTTCTTCTGGATCGACCATTTCAGTTGTATCTCTGGGCAAAAGGTAGAAAGGTGTGCAGCGGTGGTTTTCCAAGAGATGACGCTTCTCATCCCGACCCCAGTTGGAATGTCGTTCCCCTAGCTTCGATTTCCTTTTCTTCTTCTTCTTCTTATACTTCTTCTGCTTCTTCGGCTTCTTCTTAGTCCACGGTCCCCGCATGCAGATGGGTTCTCCAGCGACCAAGGTGAACCGGCTTTTCTGCTCTCCCCTGGGACAGACTCAAACTTCTTCGACTCGGCTAACGAGATTTGTCCGATTCCAGCCTGTCGTATTGTGCGCTGATTTATTACGAAAACTTTTTAAGGTTGCACCGGTGTGTGTTATTTACCCGTGAATATCGTGGCGAGAGAGCTTTTACCTTCAACAAAGGTATTTCACGCTAACATCCCTCGAAACGAAGAAAACTTCTAGCCAATCGATCTTGAAAGTTGGCGAAATTGTTTCACGCAAGTGTGAAATGTAATTAGTATTCCGTATATTCGACGATCGAGATTCGCTGTATCGAGGAGGATCGGCAAGGTTCAAGGGAGAAGATCCTTTTGCGAGGGCGATGACCATAACGACGACTTCCGGTCAGTAACTCCGCGCAATTAAAGCGACTTAAGTGCAATTCCGTTAACGGGACAGCAGCGTAACTGTCGTGTACGACTTGACAGCACAATGCTGGCTCGTTCTCTTGGATTTTCTTTTGTTCACCGTATCATTACTCCGCTACTCGGCATCTTTCGTCTCTTCCTACCATTCCTTCCCTTTTTCTTCCATTTCCTACTATTTTTTCCGCTCGATATCGTTTCGTATCGAGAAATCAAAGCCTCTCGGTGCTCGAGAGGCAAATGCTTGGTAGGTACGCGTTGGCGATTCGGAACATCCGAAGGTGGCTCCAAAAATATCTCAACGAAGCAAGGTTATCTCCGTGTTCGTTTATTTATTCTTGAATTTTCTTTTCTTTTCTTTTCTCGCGCCATTCGACTTGTTTTCCGAATAATAAACACCTACGTCAATCCTTGTTAAAGTGCGCGTATATTGTATCTTATCTACCGCCAAGCATTACGGTAACGTTATTGCTTGATAATACAATAAGCTTTTATCAAAGCCTATAAATATGCAAGCCGTTGCAGTGAGGTACGCGGAGAGGTTGCTTCCCGGTGCCTTACGTTCATTCGATAAGAAAAATCTTTCG